CTCAGATGATAAAATACACACCTTCGCTATGAACTCATAGACGATCCCTGAACGTTGCATATTTCTCCTTCGGTGCACGCTATACTTGAAAGATGACAATACATACCTTGAGTCCGTAGTTTACTGAACATCAAAATCCACTCCAGAAACATACCAAGGACTAAGATATGTATTTCTTATCGTAAGAAATCAAAAATACACCCATATACGCAATACAGATGTCAACATTTATGATTTGAAAACTCTAGCAACTGAGGAGAGACAGTTCGCAGCCTATTTGCAGGAGCTAATCTGCAGCATACCCCCATTCAAAAATGTCACCGCTCCCAGTAGGTTGAGTACAGCGAATAAACCATCAATGTTAGATCTAGTGTTCGCCAGTAAGGAGCTCATGGTTTATGGGCTAAAGGTATGTGGTCCATTGGGCCGAGGCGCACGTGACTTTACTGTTCGATTACATTTGCCACACTAAATACCCCGATCCAGAGCTGGAAAGAATGCAATCTATAAAGCATTACCACGTATTGTTCGCGTCTGTTGATACGCTAGTTGGACATTCATGACTGAGTACGCCCGAGAAATGGCCTGAGAAGCATTCCTGAAATCCTTCGCGACACAAGTCGCAAAAGCATCAGATCAAAAATTTTTCCATCGTCCCTTCAAATCTAAACCCTTGCTGAGAAGATTTAGGGTCTTGTGGGATCAAGCATGGTGCGTTTAGATAAACCATCCCAGCGCAGAAAATTGTACAGCATACGCAGCGCAGCGCAATCACTCTATGCACTTGGCTCATGAAGACTAAGTAACACACCAGCAGGAGCTAGCGAAACGCCTCCGTTCGAACCAAAAGCTCCTTTACAAACAAGTTAATAGACTTCGCAAACTGCACCGCGGAAGCCCACCACTCACTACGGTTGGTGAGTATACACACAGCGAAAGAGGCGGCCAAGGCCTTACGGGCCTCATACTCACCTACTTTCCATCGGATACATACGTCGACCGCTATTTCTGCTTCGGTCACCACACCATCAGTGTGATCCAGCATCACTTTCACTGAAAAAACGGTGCTGAGAAACCTACTATCCTTGAGTACCCAGTTCTTCTGGAGCTAATGACAGTAACCCCAAAGCACTGCAGGTCGCAGTCATGTATCTAGCCGGGCCACTTGTTAGATTGTTTCAGCGTTGTCCAGAGGGAAACAGTTCAGTCAAACTGGCAACCGGGCATTAGAACCTACAGTTACAAGCGTGGAAGTCGCTCTGGTCCTGCCATTTACCGCCCGGTAACGCTTCTATGTCTACTTAATTAACTACTGCCTACTGCTTCTCCATGTGCTCGCCAAGGTCATGCAAGCGATCATCGCAGGCACACTGATGGGTTACCTGGTGTCAGAGCTCTTCCTGTGCGAAACTACAACTCTCAGTAAAATGCAGTTTTTGGTTCGTAGCGCAAGACTGCAGAACACGGCAGTTTCAGCAGTACACAAAATTTATTACGCCTAGTCTCAAACATAACCTTTCGCACGATGTAAGTCCGATCCATAGTTAACTTGGCACGCTGACGCGGGTGAGTCCAGCCAATAGGGAGCCAGCGAACTTAGGTGGTGGATGTCACATCCCTCCTCTCTTTATTTGGAACTACCCCAGCTAGGTAACGGACACGCTCGATAGAGGATCGGTAGATGACACACATATTTTAAGTTCATCGTATTCACCTCAACCACCCTACGGGACGTGTCAATCACTTGCTTTATCTCGTGACAAATCATTGCTAATTGTTTGCCTTCTATCTGATGCTCAATGCCTACGTGCGTCCCCACGTCGAATACGCAATCCAATTTTGGCGTCTTCAGCTAAAGTGTGACCTTGCAGCGCTCGGAACTCCCAAACGTCGTGCAACGAAATTTGTCACTGGGTTGCGCAGTGTTCCATCCCACCAACAACTGAAGACATCCGTAGCGTTCAGTGAATGCTACCGGCGGCTACGTGGAGACCTCATATTTGTCTGCCAGATACTGAGCGACCGCACTCAAGTATGCTGACACCTACTGAAACTCAGCTCGAACACCAATCTCAGAGGCAATAGCCTGAAGCGGAATGAACAACACAGTGGTCTAGATTGTCGACGGAAATACTACGCTCTCCGGGTCTGCCAACCCTGGAACCTTCTCCCAAACTCAGCGGTCTGTGCCTCCACTTTAGCTGATTTTAAAAGCAATAATTGTACATCAAATTGAACACTCTACGCTTTGTTACATGATCATCATCATCATCCTTATACACGTTAGCCAGAGGTGGGAAACACCTCAGCTACTGTGCCGTAATACATAAAAGAAAAGGAAAATAAATACAGCAGTTGCATACCAGCTGAGCTACCACAACGGATGGGCATCATTCCGGAAAGCTACCAGCCGGCTACTAGGCAACAAGAAAAATTATTATGTAAAATTATATTACGCTACGAAATGAGATCGTGGTTGGAGAGGGAGGCTTGAAAGGATGAAGAGGGACAAAGAAACTCACAGCACGAACGCCATTGAGGTCGGCTCCTTGCCATGTCAGCAAGTGTATCCAGCCAAAACGCATTCATCGTCTTTTGGACCCCAACCAGGGAGCCGAGACGCTCCAACCGAGGCCAGTTTCGAAGTGAGGCTTCATTCCTCTGGACCAAGTCATCGCTTGGCCACCCCTCCTCTTCTTCCATCCACGCCCCCGGTGAGCAAACAACGTACGTAACGGAAGTTGGTGGGCTGGCATGCGTAACACGTGGCCGAGCCATCGGAGCCTGGTGCGTGAAATGACGGCGCTGAACGGTTCTTTTCGTTTTCCTGTTTCCCGTAAACAAGGCGTCGAACACGCTCGTTACTCACGCGGTGTTCACATCAGATGTGAGCCAAACTATGAAGGCACCGATGGTCGAATGTAACTAACCTTTATGTCCGTTGATCTTAGGGGCCAGGTTTCGCAACCGTTCAGTAAGGTCGAACGTACCGCTGTATTGTACACTATACCCTTCAGAGCGAGAGTGATATTCAAGATAACTTGCCTCTTTGGAATTATGACCCACAGTGACACACGTGCAGAGGGGTGAGCAACCCGATGGCTATTTGCTATGAGCATTAACCGTAAAAAGTTGTTACTCCGTTTTGCTTGGTACCATCTCATCCCAACAAGTATACTATTTTTCTACCATTAATTGATCGACTCGCCGAGGTGCGGTTTATTTGGTCACTTAGATAGTATTCGAATTTGCTATTTCTTCTATTACCAACCCACTGGGCATGTTAGGTTTATGCTTTTTCCTACTCGTCGTAAACCACAGTTCCATTACTGGCGTTCCTCAGTCGAGTGTTTTCAGTGCTCCTCTGGTTTTGTCAGCTATGTGTACATTTGTTTTTTGCTTGGTGGCTTCTTGTCTGGAAAGCAGCTGCAACGTGGCGGTTGTGGCTCGTTACAAAGGAAAGTCACTGCTCCTTGCTTATCCGAATAATCGTATGCAATCCACGGACGTCAATCATCTCTTCTCACATTGGTGACGCGATCAAACAGTCAAAATGCAGGGGCACATATACAAATCCAAACAACACAGCTACACACACCCACGTACATATGTAGTTGGCGGCATCCAGTTCCGGATTCGTCTGTCATTGTGGCCAGCCACAGGACGACTGCGCCTACAGAGAGACCATGGGGGGCTTGCGCTGCACCACCCAAAGCTCCATCCACACTCCGCATATCCTGTGTGAACCTGAAGGAATAAGACCGGGAGGCATGTGGGTGAGAGCCACGTTTCATCAACAGAGCCGGTCCACAATCCTTCAGAGGCAAACACAAGCACGCTGTGTTTGGGGAATCAAACGCACACAAGGCGGTGTTTGGACGGTGGTCCGTTCCACACTAAGTGCATGGAACCACTCTTCGAGCCTGTCACTTCCGTAATTGTCGCTTCTTCTCTGCATGCACGAGGGATTTCTCTTGCACCTCAGCAAATGTCTTCGTGATCAGATCGCGCCATGCACGCCGATCAACCGCATGCGATTCCCAACACCTGTAAACAACATTAGATCGTGATAGGCTCACTTGATCATGTCCTGGTAACATAACTTCGGTTTTCCCACGTGCCGCTTCCCTGCACTCAGTTGGCCATACAGCAGCGGTTTCGGTATCCGAGTCGAATCCATATGCCACACATGACCGAGCCACGTCAAGTGTCGCAGCAATCTTATGCAGTCCACGGCATACATTCCACTACGGCGCAACACCTGCGTGTCTGCAACTCTGTCGCACCAACCGATGCGCAGAAGCTGTTGCAGGTACTGTTGATGAAAGCGCTCGAGATATCTCACATCTCGCAGGTACCTCGTCCAGGTTTTGCTGCCGTACAGAAGAACGGACAGCACCATGGATTTGCACACCATCAACTTCGTGCCGACGATAAGCTGGTGGTTGTTCCACACTCGGTACTCAAGCTTCCCGACTGTCGCCGCTGGTTTAGATACGTGGACACGCAGCTCACTGGGTATCTGCTGATGAATCGAAGCGCACTCCCAAGGCAGCAGAAGCGGCAGGAGACACCCACCAAATCGCACCTGATCTGGGCCACACCCAAGCGTTCTCTGCTAACCCATATCGTAAACTGGCCTGCTATGCTATTGGTTGATTTGGGATTGGTCACTCAACCTGTAGCGCGCTTTGGGCGTTCGCGCCCGTAGGATGGTATTTGATTGTCTTAAGGATGATTCTTAAAAATGTATGAATGAAACCGATTTCCTTAAAACTGAGTCTAAAAGCGTTATGGATGAAACTAACCGAGAGGATATAGCCTCTCGGGAGATTGTGCATCGTTTGCCTGATCTCGCGGACACGGTGCGCTAGCGAAATTCATGAGTTGACTAGGTACCCCGTTTCAGCGTCATGTACAAGTTCGTGGCTAAGCTAAAACCATCAGGGGAATGCAATTCTATTAGAAAAATTCGTTTTGACCTTCGGTCACAAGATTTTTTATCTGATAAAACTTTCCTATCTCCAAACGGCGTCTTGCAACAAATCGCCGATGGTATTCAGACGGTAGTCCTTTCCTGTTAAGCATTACATTTTTCTGTTGTGCAGCGCGTTTTGCATGTTCCAAAATTCTTGTTCTTCATAAGAAATGCGGCCAGATACTCGATTGGTTTCGAAGGCCTAAGTTGAAACTAGGTTAAAATAGTTCGCTTACCTCTCCTTTGCTAATGTTTGCAGTCCAAGAATCAACAAAGGGACCAAAGTTTTCTCCAAATAGCCACGCACATGTAGCGATTGCATTTGAATTGCAGTCGAATCGCCATGACTATGTTCAGTTGCATATTCTATCAGGCTAATCAGTTCCGGAGTTATTATGTTTGGTGATGTCATAGTATTGCTGAGCGTAGAAATCTCTTCCTCTGTTGCACTAGAGAATACTTTATCGTCTTTAATCGTTTCGCTACCCTATAAAATGAAAAGACATAATAAATGATTGCTGAACACTTACGCCTTCGTTGCTCCACTATTTTTCAGCTTGACCGAATGCTGTAAGTAAACCTGTTGCTCTTAAGCAAGTTCAGATAAACGTAGCTATTTTCCTTACGACAGTTCTTCCACCGAGGTCGTGTCAGTCAACCCTTCGCTTTACAGCAACGGGATACTCAGTTCATTCCTATCGTCATTACTGCCCCCGATGTGTACCGTAAAGAAACAAATAAGAATACCCATGCACAGGCGTGAACTGGCTAAACGATTCCTATCAAAACCAGCCCCTGCGTTTTTGTATAACCATTGACAGTTCTGTATGAGTAGATCGACACCGTAGATATGAGCCGTCCCCTTCTGGGCACCGTTTCGAGGGACCGCTATAAATCAACCGTTTCTGTGCTTTTCCGTCTAATCATCCTAGAAACTTGTCGCACCTGATGAAACGCGGCATTTTAAATTTCCACCAGCAATTTCAGATTGAAGGACAATCCCATTTATATACCCTAGCGTTCATCTGTGTGGGTATAATATTCTTTCTGTACATTTTAAATGTAAGTAGATTTCTTGATACCGGCGTCTACGTTTCGGGTATCACTGGCATCTTTCGTCTGGCGAACCCTATCGCATCTCCCCTTGACTTCCAGATATGTACTTTGAGCTCACATTAATCATTCCCATTTGATCAAAAATCTCTTTCCTTCGCAGGATAAAGTTAAACGGCTTTAAAACCTTATGAATAGCCCTTATGTTTCACCTCGGAATCAGTTTCCAGAACTCCGTACTCTACGATCAACACAAATTCACCGTTTTTGCAAGATGACTAAAACTAAGAAGGCAGTACTTTGTATTTCCTTCTTCGGAATCGGGTGTGTAACTGCTTTCTCCATGAGATTACCCTCACCTCCTGGACAATTTTTATGCCGGAAAACCAGTAATGACCACCCCATTATTACCTGACGGAACTTGATTTATCCAGGACAAATTACAGGTGGCATGTTTCTCCGGTCATCAGGCTATGTAAGAATTCATTTTCTATAGATCTCCTCCCTGAGTCACTCCCGAATTTGTAGTCTTATCACGTGTTGGTATGAGATTTTCTGCAGAATACATTTGGTGCAGCACCCAACTGATGCTGGTCTCTAGGAGTGACTGGGATCGCGATCAGGACAGCCGGATCTACTCAATGTTTGGCGCAGTTTTCATACAGTGGCATTGGTGCTTGTACTATCCATGAGAAATACTTCAGGCCACTTGCTGTATGAGTTGAGTATAATGAGGAAACTTCCGCCGTTGATCGGTCCTGCAAAGTCGACATGGATGCGGCATCATAGTTTAGTAGCTTTTGGCCATGAATAGAGCTCTGCTTTTTGCGGCGCTTTCAAGACATTGGCGCACTTTTGGCAGCGTTTAGCTATTTCTTCTAGCTTTTGTCCATGAAGGGTCATTATGCAAAACTGCGGACAAGCGCCTTCATCAGGTTGATCCCAGGATGCCCGGCGTAGAACTGCCGAATAAAGCGATTCTGAAGTGCTTTGGGGATGACCACTCTTTCCGAGAATAGTATGCAGTCCTTCACAATAGAGAGTGAATGTCTCCTCTGGAAGTATTGTTGCAAATCGACAGCTGGACATAGACGTGGCCAACTTGTTATGTGCAACCGTGTAACGTTCTTGAGTACCGGGTTCCGAAGCCTTTCGGTTTGTACAGCTTCTGCTGTAACTGGTATGCGGTGCAATGCATCACTTACCAGATAGTTGACGTCGGGTTCGATCCCGACCGAGACAATGACTGTATCCTCATGTGCTTGCTGCTGGGCATCATTTAGGCGTGACAGTGCATCAGCTTGGCCAATCGATATTGTCGACTAGTATATAGCGCGATGCTGGTGCGCTATCTATCCGGTACGAGATTAGACGGCCAACTAAACGCAATGGGTAGAACACACAAAAGTAAGCTGGAGAAAATGTTTAGTAGACGGGAGGAGAGTTAGCTAATGCTAAAAATGGGACACCAGAAGAGAGCTAGCAAGGAAGGTTGTAGTTGGGAGTCGAGTGCGTTGACAGAACGTCATTCGCAGTCGAGGCGCGCGCCAAAGGCGGATGTGGTGTTTGTGTTTCACACAAACAGGAACAACATTCCAACAGACAAATAACCTAATTCCCTAATACATAAGAAGGCTATAGTTTTAATATAATTTAGAATAGTTTACACAGTCATACGGGGGTCATCATCATCATCATCAACAGCAGTACATCAGCCATTTGAACTGATGCTTCGCTGCCATACAACCATGAGGACCTATGAAATAAAGAATAAGAAGAGGGAGAGGAGGGGGACTTACCTGAAAACCTTAATGCCCTAAGCAAACATTCAGGGTCAAGGCGCCTACACCTTGTGTTAACAACATTCCGTCACAAACAGCTGGCTATCGTGCAAAGATAAGGCGGCATCGGCGAGACAGCTTCCTTGCGGCTTTCACTGCCACGCGTCATAATCAGCCATTACCCCGCAGATAACTCAGCACCAAACACACTTTAAACAGACAATCCAATTAGGAGACGGCAGCAGACGCGCCACTGGTGTCGTATGCGAGCCATGTCCTGTAAAGTCTCGAGCCAAGCACAAGGTGAGTCACGTGGGCTCCAACCCGGAAGGCGAGACGGACCAACGGCACCCAGTTTGGTCGTCAGTGACTTCATTTCCCGCTGCCAAGTCAACTTCTGTCCACCTCGAGCCTTGCGCCATCCGACACCTGGTAGACTGAACAAGGCCCTCCTAGGTAAGCGGTGACCAGGCATGCGTAGCACGTGCCCGAGCCAACGTAACTTATTCAGTGCTATCTGTTGTTCTAGCGAGCTAGCATGATCATCACCACCTAGTACTCGCCTACGCACATCATCGTTGCGGACACGCTGGTGCCATCCGACACCAGCAATGCTTCGCAAACAACGATGATCAAAGACTTGAAGGCGCCTCAGATCTTCAGACCGAAGGGGCCAAGTCTCACTACCATAAAGCAGAACGGCCCTCACTGTGGCCTTGTATACACGGCCTTTCAGACGGAGGAAAACTCCCTTCTGTCGCCAGAGGTGACGCAGGTTCAAGAAGGCAGCTCTGGCCTTTGCAATGCGTGAGCTCACGTCAGTTTCTATGCGCCCATCATTGCTGATGCAGCTGCCAAGATAATTGAATTGATCAACCATCTCGAGTTCCTCGTTAGCAAGCGTCAAGGGGTCATCGAGTGGCTGGTGGTCCTGCAGCAACACTTTGCACTTTGAAGGTGCGAAGTGCATACCAAATAATGGGACCACTCTGGATAGACTATTCAGGGTTGATTGTGCCGCCTCAACATTGTCGAAAAGCAAGACGATATCGTCCGCATAATCTAGATCAACTAACCGTTCACCAGGCAGCACTTCAACACCTACATCGTGAGATTCCGCAAGGGAACACTCCATGATAGAATCCACGACGAAATTGAACAAAAATGGGGAAATCGGACAACCCTGTCGAACGCCACTTGTAGTCGAAAAGCTATCCGATAGGGCACCATAGACCCTGACGCGGCCTCTAGTGTTCGAGTATAGAGCACGAAGGATGTTCACATATTTCGTGGGAACACCTTTTCGCGCAAGTATTTCGAACAGAATCGATCGATCGACTGAATCGAACGCACTCTTGAAATCGAGGAACACAGCTATTGTCGGTCTGCGGTATGCGTGGCGCTGCTCTAGCACCTGCCGCAAAGTAAATATATGGTCTATACAGCCACGTCCTGGGCGAAAACCGGCCTGCTCTTCTCTAATCCGAGATTCCCGTTCTGCAGTGAGACGACGAACGATAATCGAGGCCAGTAATTTTGTCACAACTGGCGTTAGGCTAATACCCCTGTGGTTCGCACAGTCTGTGCGACTGCCCTTTTTGTATATTGCCACTATAATCGATTCGCTCCAATTAGCCGGCACACTCTCTTCGTTCCAGATACGTTCGAATAGGGAGGTAAGTGCTTTGCAGAGGACCTCACCTCCATCCTTAAATAGTGCAGGTGGTAGGGAATCCGGGCCAGCGGCACGAAAACGATTGAGGGCTGTGATCGCGTTTCGGACCTCGGCCTCCGACGGAGGCTCTAAACTAACCGTCCATGGCTCGTCCTGCATCACCTGAGTAGGAAGAGGTCCGGGAGCAGGGGGCCAGCTGAACTGATGTTCAAAGTGCTCAGCCCAACGAGCCATACGGCGCTCATTATTGTGTATCAGCGCACCCGCGCTGTCCCTGATTGTCTCACTGACGCCTGGTTTCCTCGGACCAGTGGTGCGGATTAGCTGGAAGAGCTTCCGGTAATTGCCTACTGCTCCTGCCTCCTCCATTTCTTGAGCCCGACTGGTCCACCAGGCTTCCTTGTCAGCACGTAGGCTCAGATTTAGTTTACGCCTAATAGCCCGTCTGGTCACATTGTGTTCAGAACCAGCCGGGAGGTGCCTTCTAGCTTCCAAAAGGTTCACGGATCTCTCGGATATCCAGTGACTGGTGCGATGACGACTGATAGTGCCACAAGCAGATGCTCCTGCGTCGTGCATAGCGGCCGAGATCCTATTCCACTGAAGTTCAGTGTCATTAGGACAAGACAGCGAGAGTTCGCTATGCAGTGCTTCTTGATAGGCTTGCCTGACCGAGGGCTGGAACAATTTCTCCGTTGCCAATCGGGGGAGATGCTTTGTGCGCCTTCCGGTAAAGTTCGTGGAGAAACGACAGCGCACCAAGGCATGGTCAGAGTCGACACAGGTACTCCAGTATGAGCGGCAATCCAGAATGGAACCGCGCCACCTGTAACTTATGGCTATGTGGTCAATTTGGGTCCATCGCTGACCAGCTACAGGTGGACGCCAAGTGGCACTTCGGCGCCCACTGTGTCTAAAAGCAGTGCTAGTAAGAAACAACTGGTGCTCCGCACACAGTTGCAGCAGACGCTCGCCGTTG